AAACCTACTAGTGGGCCAACCCATTTTTTTTTGAATTATTTCATCAAAACTTGTTACTTTTTCAAAATTGACTATGTAATTTTTTTTTTCAAAATGAAGATAAGAAAATTAAAATTCGGACCTAGAAAAATGGATGGTTATAAAGATATTTTTTTTTGGTTTAAATTTAAATGAAAAAGAGGATAAGCTAATTACTTAAAGTAAGGATAAGAAAATCTTTTTTATGGTATTAAATTAAACTGCCGAAAATATAAAATAATGGCTCATAGATTAAGTTTAATTAGTAATAATAATTTATATAGATTTTAAGAAAGGGGTAAAAGTGTTATGAATATTTATGAATAAAGCAGTAAAACTAAGTTTTAATAAACTAATAATTTAAGAGTTAAAAGAGGAATATAATGTGAGAGTTTGTTTACAATTACATAAATTTATTTAGAAAGTTAGAAATAATGAATTTCTTACAGAGCTATCTATAGACTTCTAAGAAAATGAAAAAAATTACGGATAAATAAACTAAGATTGTAAATACTTAATCACATTTGATCTAAGATCATAATTGATTCAAATAAGAACATTCAAGAATGGCAATTGAATATTTTTCTTTGTTGAAATAAGATATAATCATANCAAATAAGAACATTCAAGAATGGCAATTGAATATTTTTCTTTGTTGAAATAAGATATAATCATATTTAAAACTGATTTGTTTTCATATATATTCGTCGCCTAATTCTAATTTAGACTTCATATTCATTTATATAAAAAATTTAAGTTTTTGAATTCTTAAATTAATCCAATTTTTTTTGTTGATATAATACTTTATTTTGATGAAGAATTAGTGAAATGCTTATTTAAAACAATTATTTTCTAAAATAATAGGGAAAAATTCTTATTTTCTCTTTATAAGAAAAGCAACACAAAATTTCTATCTAAATTACCTTAGATAAGATGATTAATTTTGGCTGATAGGACAACTAGGCATAAATGTAGAAATTCAAACTATCTTTTTAAATTTTGTTTAAGGCCAATTAAAGCAATACATTAAAAAATATCTAGTATGCATTTTAATCTTAAAATATTTATATTAAAAAAATAAATTTAATGCTGATTTCTTGTAAAAATAGGAAAAATAAATTTTTCTAGATTTATGCCATTGATTTTGCTTAAATCAAAGAGCTTTGGCTTACTTTCATCTTGCCTAAATTAATAGAAGTTAATTTCTTTACAAAAATATTTTCACACCCACTTTATACTCCTTAAAATTGACCCTTAAAAATCCTTCAGTTAGGATCCACTTTTCTTCAACCCATCAACAAATAGTATTAAAGTTCCGTCGAACTTAACCTGCAAACAAACCCTTTATTTCATTGAAGTTAATCTCTTTCTTAAAAGACATCTTCATTGATTGCATCATGAATTAAAAATATTACACTAATATTCTTAATTTGTATTATAAAATATTATAAAGATACTGCATCGAAATTAAGATGAATAATATAATTAAAATTTATCCTAAACTTTAAAAAGAGAGAAAACATAATGATAAAGAAATCGATCTGTTATTTCTTGCTATTAGATATAATTAGCTCTGCACCTACACACGCATGTCCAACTGGTTGTTCAGCATGCAATGGAGCTAGTGATAATTGTACTGGTTGTTCGCCAGGGTATTAATTGAGTGGAACAACTTGTATTGTCTGTCCATCAGGTGTTTGTACTTTATGTTAATTGCCATGTGCAACTTGTGTAACAGATAGTTCAGATTGTTTGACATGTAATGACTCTGCTAACTAAGCAGGTTTAAAATGTTTATGCAATGATGGGTATATTATGAATACCTCAAATTATTTCTGTGATTAATGTTAATTTCCATGTGATACATGTTAAACAAATATAAATTATTGTTTAACATGTACTTCAACTTATACATTGAATAATACTATAAATACATGTGAATGCTAAAATGACCAATTCGAGTTAAATGGTACTACTAAAACTTGTGTAAATTGTACTAATCCATGTTAAACCTGTACTTCGTCGGCTACATTTTGTACATCATGTGTTTCAGGATTAAATAGAAAACTATTGAATATTTAATGTGTCTGTGATGATGGCTTTTATGGAAGTACCACTTGTACAGCTTGCAATTTGCCATGCAAAAATTGTAATTCATCAATATTTTGTACATCATGCAATGATCCTACTCATTAAACAGGATCTTCATGTACCTGTCCAGTTACTTTTTATATGAATGCATCTTTTATGTGTTAAAGTTGTGTAACTCCTTGTTTAAATTGTACCTCAAATTTGTTATGTACATCCTGTATTGATAATTACTTCCTTTATGTAGATACTTGTTTATAGTGTAATTTACCATGTTATAATTGTGTTGATCTTGCTACGAAATGTACCTCATGTGCAGATGGATATTTTATGAATAATTTAGTATAATGTTAATCATGCATTTATCCTTGTAGTAAATGCGAAAATAATGCTAATAATTGTTTGGATTGTGCATCAACATATGTATTGAGTACTTTAGTCCCAAATACATGTGAATGTCCGTATAATTCCATTTAAGTATTAACTAATAATCCCATAAATTGTCNCTGCAAACAAACCCTTTATTTCATTGAAGTTAATCTCTTTCTTAAAAGACATCTTCATTGATTGCATCATGAATTAAAAATATTACACTAATATTCTTAATTTGTATTATAAAATATTATAAAGATACTGCATCGAAATTAAGATGAATAATATAATTAAAATTTATCCTAAACTTTAAAAAGAGAGAAAACATAATGATAAAGAAATCGATCTGTTATTTCTTGCTATTAGATATAATTAGCTCTGCACCTACACACGCATGTCCAACTGGTTGTTCAGCATGCAATGGAGCTAGTGATAATTGTACTGGTTGTTCGCCAGGGTATTAATTGAGTGGAACAACTTGTATTGTCTGTCCATCAGGTGTTTGTACTTTATGTTAATTGCCATGTGCAACTTGTGTAACAGATAGTTCAGATTGTTTGACATGTAATGACTCTGCTAACTAAGCAGGTTTAAAATGTTTATGCAATGATGGGTATATTATGAATACCTCAAATTATTTCTGTGATTAATGTTAATTTCCATGTGATACATGTTAAACAAATATAAATTATTGTTTAACATGTACTTCAACTTATACATTGAATAATACTATAAATACATGTGAATGCTAAAATGACCAATTCGAGTTAAATGGTACTACTAAAACTTGTGTAAATTGTACTAATCCATGTTAAACCTGTACTTCGTCGGCTACATTTTGTACATCATGTGTTTCAGGATTAAATAGAAAACTATTGAATATTTAATGTGTCTGTGATGATGGCTTTTATGGAAGTACCACTTGTACAGCTTGCAATTTGCCATGCAAAAATTGTAATTCATCAATATTTTGTACATCATGCAATGATCCTACTCATTAAACAGGATCTTCATGTACCTGTCCAGTTACTTTTTATATGAATGCATCTTTTATGTGTTAAAGTTGTGTAACTCCTTGTTTAAATTGTACCTCAAATTTGTTATGTACATCCTGTATTGATAATTACTTCCTTTATGTAGATACTTGTTTATAGTGTAATTTACCATGTTATAATTGTGTTGATCTTGCTACGAAATGTACCTCATGTGCAGATGGATATTTTATGAATAATTTAGTATAATGTTAATCATGCATTTATCCTTGTAGTAAATGCGAAAATAATGCTAATAATTGTTTGGATTGTGCATCAACATATGTATTGAGTACTTTAGTCCCAAATACATGTGAATGTCCGTATAATTCCATTTAAGTATTAACTAATAATCCCATAAATTGTCAACTTTGTACTTAACCATGTGATACATGTTCAGGAACGTCGACTCATTGTTTAACATGTATAGATACTCATTTAAGTATCAATTCTTCTTTTTAATGTGTTTGCAATTCAGGTTATGTGTTTGATAGTAGTTTTCATTGCATACCATGTTAAAGTCCTTGTTAAACTTGTTCAGATAGTGATACTCATTGTGATACTTGTACTGATTCAAATCATTAAATTAATGCAGAATTTCAATGCATCTGTAAGGACACATTTTATTCAAATACTATTAGTACATGCGCTTAATGTACATACCCCTGTAAGCAATGTGATACTTATGGATGCTTAACATGCATTGACTCTAACAAAACTATTAACACTTCTTAGGATTGTGTTTGTAAACCAGGATTTTATGAAGAGGGTCTTAATTGTGCATAATGTGTATTTCCATGTAAAACTTGTGAAATCAAACAAGATTAGTGTTTAACATGTTTTGATAATTATTAAATCTTACTCAACAACAATTGTATATGTCAAGATGGGTATTTTGAAATCAATATGTAGTGCTAATAGTGTGGCCAATAATGTTAAACATGTTCTTAAAAATCTGATAATTGTCTTAGTTGTAATCAAGAAAAAAACCGAAAATTATAGAAAAATACATGCATTTGTTTAGATGGCTATTTTGAAAATGATTAAAAATAATGTTGGTCTTGTGATTCTAATGAAGGTAAATCTAGTAAAGATTGCAAATATAAAGACTGCTCTGATAATGTTTGGACATAAGGAGAAGATTGTGATGATGGAAATAATTTTACAAGAGATGGTTGTTCAAATTGCAAAATTGATAATGATTATTCTTGCATTAATACTTTACTAGAACCATCATTTTGCTTTAAATGTAATGATAATTGTAAAAAATGTTAAATGAATAAAATCTAACTCTAAGTCGGTTGTATTTAATGTAATTAAGGCTTTTTTTTATTTTAAAACCAATGTTCTTAATGTGCTGAATAGTGTTTAGATTGTAAAAATAGTGCTTCAAATTGCATTAGTTGTAGATATTAAACTAATTCATCTGGAACATGTTAATTATGTTAAAATAATCTTGGCTATTATTCTGATCAAATTAATAAGAAATGTTATTCTAAATGTGGAGATTCATTGAAAACTTTAGAGGAATAATGTGATGATGGTAATTTATTATCAGGAGATGGATGCAATTAATTTTGTTAAATGGAAAAGAAATTTCTATGTAAAAATGGAATTTGTATTACACCAGAGTATCCCATTCCAATATTATTCAGCTATGGAGATTAATCATTATATAATAATAAAAGGAAGTTTAAATTAGAATATAATACTCTGTTAAATTTGACTCAAGATAATATAATAGAGAAGCAATTATAATTATATTTCAAAAAGTAAACCACTATTACTCCAATTGATATCCCATATATGATAGAGAAATAATATTAATTTAATAATCAAGCCAATATTAATTTCTCAGTAAGCATAGAGATATAATTTAATAGAAGTACAACCAACGAAGAGTTTTTAATTAAATATCTCAGTGTTGACTTAATTATCTCAAATTAAGGATACTCTTAAATAGAAAATGAAGTTTCAACTACAATCCCTAAATTTATGTTTATAGATCAATCTGCTGTTGCCTAAGTTGAAATGGCTACTTCCAGCAGCTCGATTTTGTTGTATATTATGGCGGGTATGGCTGCAGGAGCAGTTTTGTTTGGCGGTTTAGAAATATTTTATAATCTATTAGATACAATTTAAATGCTATCTTACTTAAAATACATCAATACTTAATATCCTTATAATCTCGAATAATTTTTTGAGTTTTTTGGTTTTGCTTAACTGAGTTTTATTTCTAAATATTTGAATTTATAAGAATAAATTGATCCATATATTGCTTATGAAAATCTAAAACCTATACCTGAGAAGATATTAATGGATGATTATAATTCTTTATTTATTATAAATGGATCTTCAATTTTATTTGTTTGGCTCACACTTTTAGGAGTTTATTTTTTATCTATATAATTACCAAAAATTTTGTCTAAGTTTAAATTTAAATATTACAATGATATCCCAGAAAAATTAAACTTAGAACAAAAATTAAAGTTTTGGTTGTTAGCAGTAAAAATTTATATTGTGGAACTATGCTCAATCGTAGTATCAGAATTCTTTTATAGTGGTATTGTAAGAACTTTTATTGCTACTGCTTATGACTACTCATTTACAATGTCTCTTTAACTTTCAGCACTACAAATAGATTCTTCAGATGCAATTGTTGGATTTAGTTCTTTTTTAGCTTTGATAGCTTTAGGAATATATTTAATTACTATTTATTTTGTAATAAAAATATGTGGAGATACTAATTTTTAAATTTATCAATATTAAAATAAACTTAAATACTAGTCCCTATTTGAAGGCATTAAAAATGATAGCTACAGTAAGTATTTTAATGCTATTGGTCTCTGTTAAAAATTACTTTTTATAATTATATTGATATTTTGCTATAAAACACCTTTTTATCAGACGATAAATTTAATACTTTTATCTGTTTTATAAGTTATATATTTAATTATTTTTAAACCCCTAAATGATAAAAAAGAGTTTATAAAGTAGTTTTCATGCGAAATTAATAAAGCAATTGCACTATTTTTTATTTTATGGTTAGTTTATGATGAAGAAACAAAAATTTTTAGTGAAAATGTGAGATCAAATATTGGATGGATTTGCATAGGTAGTATAAGTTTAATTTTTGCAATTTAAATAATAATTGATGCTATTTAACAATGGATGCTCTTAATTAAAAAATACAGAAAGCTAAGAAGATTTGTTGATAAATTTTATCAAAACATAGTCCCACCAAAACCTTAATAAGCAGATCATCGACTTTTTACTTAAGGAAGTTTAAAAAAAATTTGAAATTTATTTATTTAATTTTTATTAATATTTTTATATTAATAAAATACACAAAATAAATCTTCTAGAACAAATTCTAGTTTGATATCATTTATGCAAGTACTTTTGTAATCCAAGAATTATTCGAGAATCGCATATCTGAAAGGATTGAAAATTCAGTCTTCGTTAATTATTTTAAATGAACACAAGCAATAATTTTGATCAAACTAATCATTTTTTATAATAAATCTGATTTTCAAAACCAGAAATTACCTTAATTTTGCTTGTTATAATATCAAAAGTCAAAGCTCTACCATAAATAGAATGTTTATTACTTTGTTTCATTTCTCATTATCCATAAATTTGAAGAAAATAATCTTATACTGAATTTCTGTAACTTATAAGCTAAGGTTCATAAAACAATAAATAAAATTATTGTGACTCCTTTGAAAAATAATAAATCAAATATATTAGATAATAAGAAAAATCTAACAAAATTGCATTTGATTAGCAATAATGGAAATTTTAGTTTATTCTTAGTGGTTATTTCTAGTTTAAGCAATTTTTATATTTTAATTGAACTAAAATAAATCTGGTTATTTAAATCCTTTTTTTAGATTTCTATTCAAAAATGCTAAGTGAAATTTAGAATGTCTTTTAATTAATTTTAATTTAAGTTGGCAGATTAGAATAAAAAAATATCAATATGATGTATTTACAATAAAATAAAAGAAGGAATAAGAGGAATAAAAATTTATAGTTATAATGTTTATATAAAATTCAAAAGGATTTGTAATTATGAATTCATATATTAATGAATTTAAAAAGATTTGATAATATTTTATATATTTATTTAAAGGCTAAGACCTCTAAAGTCGACCATCAAACATTATAATTTATACTCATCTAAACCTGCACTGAAATAATATCCTAATGTATTAACCATTAATGTATAAAAAACAATAATTTATCAAGGATGTTTTAAAAAAATGAAATTTTTTTGATGTGTTTTAATATCAAGAAAAGACTTTTAGAGATATATTTAACATTTTCTTAGCAGATTGTGTAAAAGCTCTAGGTGTAAAATTTTAGAAACTCTTAAATTAATTATAGTATTAATAGCTTAATTTTTAAATTACATTGATTGTCCTGATAATTTTGAAGCATACTAAAACACTACAGATTAAGTCCTTTTTCTATTTTGTTCATTTGCACAGAGGACAATATTAAATTTAAAGTATTCTAGAAAAAAAGAAACTCAATATTGGTCGCTTTTGTTGAATTTAAATAAAAAAAGACTTAATTTATAATGTTTTGGTATGCCAAGTGCTTGATCTTTTTCAAAATTATGATTATATTTGCTTTAATTTTATACTTAGAATAAAGAATCTTATTAAAGATAATAATTATTTTAGTATCCTTTGTTTATTATATGATAAGAAATTATTTGTGATATTCACTTATTCTATTTAAATTAAAATATCATTTATATAAATTTTTGAATTTTTTTTCTTATTCAATCACAAACCTTAAAATGGAAATACAGTTACTAAAATTCTTTCTGGAAGGTTCGAGAGTTTTATAATTAGATAATTAAAGTTGGATGAATTTTCAGACATCAGTTATAACTATAAATCTATTAAATTTTCAAAGATAAGGATGTACCTATTTAGAAAAATTAATATAAATCTATGAAAAAAACACATTTAATTTATGGAAATGAATAGGATGATTGGTTGAGTGAAGAAGTTAAGGCTTTTAGTAAAAAAGTAAAAAAAGAAATGAATCAATTTTTTTAATTGATAAATCTTTGTTTTAATCAGAGCTAATTTAAGAATTAGCACCATTTATTAATTCTAATATCAAATATCCAGTTTAATAATAAGGGCCCTAAGAATATTAAAAGTAATTAATAAAATCATAATAATCATAATTAAATTAACAATAAAATTTACTAATTGAATAAATGTCTTAATTCAATATCAAACCATTTACTTATAATATAATTTAACAGAGTTCAATTTAATAAGAGGAATATTATAGGGCAGTTGCTTTTAATATATATTACTCAGTTGTAGCAGCTACAATGATGTGGCCACTCTATATTTCAAGAAAAAATCCAATAAGTTTATATCTGGAGATATAAATTGCTTAATTATGAATAATAATGAAAATCTGATAATATCAAGTAGTGATGATCATACTATTAAGTTTTAGATAAAGCAAAATGTATGGATCTGTTAATAAACAATTACAGATCATAAAAGCTATGTTTATTAATTAAGTTTAAGTCAAGAATAAGATAAACTTATTTCATGCAGATAGGATCAATTAATATTAAGAATGGAATATTTAGAAGATGATAAAAAGTTGATGGTGATATAAAAAATTTAAGTTGATTGTTTAGGATATCGATTATGTTTTAAAAACGATAATTTTTTCACATTTTAACCTGATTATGGCAATATGATGCATGTTAATGAGATGAATAGTGTAAATAGATAAAACTAAACATATTATTGTAGAACAAGGTGATGATGATTATTTATACTTCCTATAATAATATATTAAACAAAAATAGTTACTTGTGAGTAGGCATAGTAATAATATCAATTTAATAAGAAAGAAAACGATGAATTTAAACTTGAGTACTCTATTTAATTTTTTGATTATTGCTTATTCTGTTAAATGAGTGATGATGGAGAGTATTTCATTACTTGTAGTAAATTATCTAAAGAATTATAAATATGGAAATAAGAACATTATTATTATATATAATTTTTAGCTTCTTTTTTAAGGATTAGAGCAAGTTAAGTATCAAACTCAATTATTCTCCAAATTGTAAAATATTCATTTTTTAATTTTTTCAAATAATTTTATCCAATAAAAGGACTATTTAAAAAATTTAAAAAAGACAAATTTGTAAAAATTTTCCTTTCATTAATTTAAATATTTATTAAAAATTAATTTTATAAACTTTAAATAGATTAATTATTGATTCATTTAAAGAAATAATTTTTGGAAAAAAAAATCCTTCTTAGATTTTCTTAAATATTCTTAAAATCTTATCACACCTTTTGGGGATTTGTAATATAAGACATGAATCATGGAATGAAATAGTTAACTAGGATTATTTTTTACTTTTAACATCGATGAAATAATAATATCAAAATGCAATTTGCTATTTATGATTAATATTTAATTAAATTTGTAGTGTTTTTCTTATCCTTAAATTTTTTGATCCCTTTTAATTAATAATGAAAAATTTTCCTGTCGGGACTAAAGGAAAGGGAGAAATACATGAATTAATAATGAATTAAAATCATCTCAACTGAGGATTGTAATTTGAATCATCTTCTAAACATTGCAAATTTCATTTCATGATTCTTTATCTTATGTTAAAGAACCATATTTAAATGTATTTGATAATTTTAAATTTTGATATTGTTTGATAAAAATAAAAAAAAATTATTTCTAAAATTAGCAGTTTTAGTGCTAATTATAAGCTCAATATTTCTGTACTTCTTAAAAGTTGATTCTTTTCAATGATCATAAGTTAGCACATTAGAGTGAATAAACCAACAAAAAAATGTTATATATACTATTTCGTATTCATAATCCAAAAATGATCTTATTTGATTACTATGAAAATCTACCTAACTGATAGTTTCAAATAAGCATATCTAGATTAAAGTATTTGTATACTGATTTTTTTTTGAAGATTTTCAGTCACTGCTAACACATCCTCTAAAGCTAAAATAAGCTAAAGAACTGAATAATTTAATTATCATCGTGGTGTAAAAATAAATAATTAAATCTAGATCAACTATTAGACTAAACTTATACTTTTTTTTAGTAAAATTACTTTTTACTATTTGGCCAACTTTTATTTTGACTTTTATCTCGATTATTTAAAACTAAAAAAACTTTTTTGATTTTTTTCTTCCCTCGGTACCCATTAGAATAAAAAGAATTATAATATCTTCTCTTTAAATTGTATTTCATTTATCATATTCGTTGTTATTGAAAAATGGCTCTAATTCATTATTATCATTTAAAATTTGTTTTCATATTAATTTCAGTTAATCATTTTTAGATTAATAAGATTAATAATATATTATTTTTTCTTTAAATATAAAATAATTAATTAGTATAAAATAATATTTAAAGGAAAGTGAAATAATTTTAATCAATCAAAAAATTGTTCTAATTGTTTTTCAATTAGCGTACAATATTAACTATCAATAAGCACTGGTGTTTCAGAAGCAAAAAAATAAATAAATAAAGTTTAATTTTCATATTTGGAATGAAACTATAAGTAAATGAAAAAAAGTTACCCATCCTTCAATTGAAACATTAGCTTGATAATTGCCTCTTCCTTAAATACAATTAGCCTTAAATTCACCTATGTATCTTGTATTATCGTTAAAAATTAATTCTCCTTTTCCATGCATTTTTCCTTTATATACACTTCCTCTGTAAATGCATTTATTAGCATATTCAAATTATCCATTACCTTAAATTTTGCCTTCACTAAACTATCCTCTATATATAGTTCCATTTTTTCTAATTTCATTACCTTCTCCATTCAATTTATTATTCAACCAAAATCCGCTCACTTATTTTTTAGAATTGACAAACTTTCCAAGTCCATTTGCAATATTATTTAGAAAATTACCTATAAAACTAATATTGTATATTTTATTTACTAATCGCCATTTGGATATATCATTCGAGCCCTTCCATTCAATTAATTATCAATCCAAGTCCTAATAATAAATTGATAATCGATACCCTTCCAATAAATTCCCTTCCTTTGTCCAATGTTATTTTCCAATACCCTGTCTTTGGCCATTCACTATTTATCCAAAATATATGCTTTGATCTGGCATAAGCATATACTGGCCCTAAATATTTTAGAATAATTCTCCAAGTTCATTATATACTTCTTAAACTTTAGGGAGAAAATCACCTAGATTACATATCTGCATCCCAATTTATAAGAATTAATCTTAAAAATCAGGTAGATCTGCTTCTGTTTAAATTGTTGTATGATTATCTTAAATATTTTCCTAAAGTACATGAATCAGGTAATTTTATATTAAATTGCTTTATGTCCTATTCTTTGTTAGTTACACATCCCATTTTTATAGTAATTCAATTATTTTATATAAAAACAAAAACTAATCAAAAGTTTAACTTTTATTAACCCAAACTTAATTTTCATATTAAGAATCAATTAATAGTTTCTTAAGAAATTAAATTTGTGTATTACTTGAATAACAAATTTATTTTCAAAATGATGATAAAAATAAATCAAGTAAAATTTTATTGCTTTTTTGAAGACCATATTAGTAGTAAGAATTTTAATTGATAATTTAATTACTTTTCTATTTTGTTTAACTAAAGTAGAAATAAATGTAATTAATGAAAAAAGTTAGATATAAATAAATAAAGAAAAAAAAAAATAATTTAATGTTTAAAATAATAACATTTACTGTCTACAGAATGTTGGAATAGTTAATCTTAAATGTAAAGTGTGAATACTAAGTATTAATAATTAATTATTTACTCTGTTTTATATTAAATGAATTAATTACTGAATTATTTAAATTATATAATAATGAGTTTAACAAGAAATGGATCTAAAATGTCAAGACATGGAAGATTTACTAATTCTCAAATTTTGGATTTAAAAAAGAATAAAATATTTCCTTTATCTAGTAAGCACTATGATTCTTCAACTGGAATATTTATGAGTTAATCAAAAGCCCCAGATTATGGGTAAGTTCATTTATTAAATAATGATGTATTAAAAAATAAGATCAAAGAAAAGAGAATTCAGAAATAAATAGATACAGAAGTATTACTAAATAAATTAGTAACAAGAGTAGAATCTAAGATCGCTTAATCTCCTTTTAAAAAGAAGATGTTAGCAATTAATCCAACTATTGAAATTCCGTCTCAATTAAAACCTTATTCCTTGACTCCTTAATCTCGAATATCAGCATTTTAAATTTAAAGTCCTTCATCTTCTAAACCTAGATCGCAAAGTCAAAACAAAAGAATAGAAATTTATTACTTAAGTAAATTGTAAAAAGCATTCGACAACAATGGATCAGATTACTTCTCTAGAATATTTCGAGAACATTTCCATTAAACTTATTAAGGACTAAACCATAGATTTTTTCCACAAAATAATAATGATTATAATAGATCAAATAAGTTGATAAAAAAGTGTTAATGTAATTGCAGTATATAAAAATAGAATAAATAACTCTCTTTTTTGATTTAGATGAAACATTAGTTCATTGTAATGAAAATCCATCTATGCCTTGTGATGTGATTTTAGACATAAATGTTTCAAAAATTTAAATAGTTAAAGCTGGTATAAATATTCGTCCTTATGCAAAAGAATTATTAAAAAATTTATCAAAGAATTTTGAAATAATAATTTTCACAGCTTCTCATAGTTGTTATGCTGAGAAAGTAAAAATAATAAAATGATTAGGTTTGTAATTATTTAGATCCTGAGTAGAGTATAATAAGTCATCGTTTGTTTCGTGATAGTTGTACTCTTACAAACAATTAATTTTATACTAAAGATTTGAAAATATACTGTGATAATACCAATCGACCATTAAATAAGGTAGCTTTAATTGATAATGCTTCTTATTCTTATGCTTGGTAATTAGATAATGGTATACCAATAATTCCATTTTATGATAATAAGGAGGATAAAGAATTGTTAGATTTAGAAAAATATCTTAAGAATATGATAGGAACGATTGATGTAAGAGAATACAATAAAAGTAATTTAAAATTGTATACTTTTATTGATCAAAGAGGACCATATAAAGTGTTAGAAAATTTGTTTGAAAAGTGTTAATAAACATGAGAAAGATATGATTTATTTTTTTTTATTATATTGTGAAAAAAAGTCTCTATTTATAAAAATTAATCGTCACAAATTAAAGGTGATTTTCATTTTTAAAATTAAAGATTTTAAATATTCTTTAAAATGTCTTAAAAGAAAGCTTAAATCTAAGTGGAGTATGCAATTAAAATAATTTTAGATAAAAAGTACCAGAGAGTGTTGTTAAGAAAACATAAAGAGATTCAAAATTAAGAGATCTTGTTGTAAAAAGAAGAGCAGATAGATTGGGTTTGAATAAAACAAGAAGAGCACTATTAGAGAAGAATGCTTAAGCTTATGAAGCTGAATACAAAGCAACTGAAAAGAGTTTAATTGATAACATTCGTAAAGCAAAAACTGAGAATGGATTCTATGTTCCAGCTGAAGCAAAATTGATGCTTGTAATTAGAATTAGAGGGTATATAATATTATATAGAATAATATTAGTATCAACACGTTGAATCCATAAGTAAGACAAACTCTTAGACTTTTGAAATTAAGACAATTGCATAATGCTGCATTTGTTAGAATCAACAAAGCAACTATTGAAATGATTAGAAAAGTAGAACCCTATATCACTTATGGTTATCCATCAAGAACAGTTATTAAGAATTTGATT